TCTTTAGAAGGGTTGTGGTGGATGCTTTTCCTGGCTGGCTGTTTTCTTGCATCATCAAACTGGTGCATCTTCATCAGTGCTTTGTCTGTTCTGCTTATAGGGGTAACTCCTCTTCTCCAGCCTTTGGGGAGCTGAAGGACTATTATCTCTTCTACCTGAAGAGCAAGTCTCCCCGTGAGGAGCTCCTGAAGATGTGGGGAGAAGAACTGACTGGTGAGGAAAGCGTCTTTGAGGTTTTCACATGTTACATCACCGGAGAGCCCAACAAGAATGGACACAGGGTGAGAGGTGGCCCTGGAAGGGCTGGTCAGTGTGGCACAGACAACAGTACTTCACGTCTCCTGTTCCTGTACAATGGCAGTTTCCTACCTAAAACTGCTGAAATAGTGGCTGAAAGGGGGGGGATACTCTCTCCAAAGAGAATCCAAGAGCCAGAGCTAGGGCTGAGCATAAAAAGCAAGCTGCTGTAGCATCATGCTGAGCTCATTCCTGGAGTTAGCATACCTGCTCCCCAAACAAAACCTGAGAATTCTGCCCTGTGTTAGATGTTCAAGATCACTAGGGCGTTTCTGAGTTCCTTCAGCATCAGTTAGTAACCAAAGGATTGTTGTGCACTCCCACAATGTAAGCCATCTTCTCTCCTCATGGTAGGTTACGTGTATGCCCTGGAACGATGACCCTCTTGCTACTGAGACCAGCCTTCTGAAGGAGCAGCTGGAGAAGGTCAACAGACGAGGAATCCTGACTATTAACTCCCAGCCAAACATCAATGGCAAACCCTCCACAGACCCCATTTTTGGCTGGGGACCTAGTGGAGGTTATGTCTTCCAAAAGGTATTGCACTCTTCTACTGGGGAGCAGTAAATTGTGACTTAGTACAGTCTCCATGAAGTAGGAAGGTCTTAGGCTTCCAAACAGATACTACTTCTGCCAGCTCCTTACTGTAATGCTTTCTTGCTGGGATAAGACAAAGCTCCTCTGGTGACTTAAGAGACAGATCATGTCAACTCTGTGGCTTACCTAGCTGTTTTCTCCCACTTCAAAACAATTTCTTGTTTTTATCATAGCAAGCAATTGATGCTAAACACTTGCCAGAGCAGAGCTATCAAGTTACAGATTTAAAAAAAACTAAAACCAACAATAAAACATGCCTGCCCACTGCAGCTGATCCCATTCCCGATGCAGGAAGCACCCAGGCTTCTCATAATAGTAATCAATGAAGCAGTATCTCTGCCATCCAGCTTTTCATGCTAATAACTGGGTATTTAAAAATTCTCTCATCCATCTTTCTCTAAGGCAGAGTTCTTCACCAGTTGCCTCCACTGCAGCACTTCTGCTGTGGTTACTTCTGGTCTGCAAGCAGTCTTATCTCTCATGCCTGCCTCCTACTGTCATGCATTTTCAGGCCTTACATCCTTGCTATTAATGGCTGTGATAGGAATCTCCTGTGTCAAGGTAAATGCCAGGCAAGTGCCTTGTACTAGGAAACAAAGCAGCTGTGTTCAAAAGGGATCCGAATTGCTAAAGCCATGAAATGAGCAGATGGCAAATGCAGTTATGTTTTCAAAGAAGAAAACAAATTCCCTGAGGTGAGGGGAAATCCATCATCACACAATAGCCAGGAAATGGGGGGAGGGGAAGCAGTTGTTGGAGCAGCCAAGCACAGAGCAGCAGTAGATGGAGGAAGTACAGAATTAGATTGTGTGAGCTCACTGGGAGGACTGAGGACAAAAGATGAGAGTGGACAAAAGGCAGGGTGTTTCAGAGCCCAGCTGAGACCTCTGACTTCATCTCCTGCTAGACTGGGCTGCCTTGGCAGGATACTCCTGTTCATGGGCTACGACACAAGTCAAGCTCAGGCTCCTTCCAGGAACTCTGGCCAGTATGGGCTGCTTTCCAGGCCCAGCAATTGTGGTTGCACTGCCTGGAGCATATTATAGCCTGTCTGCTTACATGGGTACAGGTCAGATAGCTCGCAGCTTTCCCAAACTGGCCGTTCTCGGGCTGTTACCTCTGCTCTCCATGAGTTCTTTTTCTCAGCTCTTACCAATTTGTTTTGCCCTTTGCTCCAGTCCCCTTTGTAATACATATTTCTGGGGATGGATATAGAAGTCTTAGGCTTGTGCTAAAAAACACAGGTTACTTTCGGTTGCCTCTGTGTCAGCCCTGCCATGAGCTAGGGCTCTTATTTTTTCTCTCTTCCCTCTCTGGCAGGCATACCTGGAGTTCTTCACCTCCAGTGAGATCGTCACAGCACTGCTCAAAGTGCTGAAGAAGTACGAGTTGCGGGTGAACTACCACATTGTCAACGTCAAGGTAGGCTGATATTTACAGGATACTTTCACCACCTTGGGAGAGAGGCAAAGGTCAAAGATGCACACATCCCCAGGAACAAACTGGGACATGAAGGAAAAGTGAAACAAGTCAGCTGTGACCTGCAGCTGCTGTCTGATCTCTTAACAAGGACAGGAAAATTGCTCTGACTCAGTATCTCCTCCAGCAGCTTCAGAAAGGTTTTCTTTTCCTTGTAGGGCCAGAATATCACCAATGCTCCTGACCTGCAACCCAATGCTGTTACCTGGGGCATCTTTCCAGGCAGGGAGATAATCCAGCCCACCGTGGTAGACCCTGTAAGCTTCCTTTCCTGGAAGGTAAGTCCTTCCTGCTGCTGGACACAGCTGTGATACCCTGGAAATTCAGTGTCTGGTTTGTTTCGAATCTGTAACACCACTTGCAGTTGAGTACTGTTGTGTCATTAGCTCGCTGCAATCTGCTCCCTCAGTGTATTTACAGCTTCTCTCCATGAGAGCTTTACAGAGACACTAAGTAAATATCCGGGAGGCTGGGGGGCCATCATCTCCAGACGAGTCCCCAGAGCTCTGAGCAATAGCTTTCCCTCCCACTACCCGCACAGGGGCAGTATTGAGCCATTTTACCGTAAGCACGTCTCATTTCAGCTCTGCACAGTTGTGGTACCTCCCACTGCCTGCAAAGCAGGAGCTTCCTTGCTCAGCTCTCGCAGCACTTACTGTGAGAAACAATCCACAGGCATGCCAGGAGTATGTGATGCTGGTTGTCCCAGTTGAGGTAGTATAAAGTGTGCATGAAACCCCTCAAACATCTCTCTCTCCTCGGCAGGATGAGGCCTTTGCTCTGTGGATTGAGCAGTGGGCCAAGCTCTACGAAGAGGAGTCGCCCTCTCGCATGATCATCCAATACATCCACGACAATTATTATTTGGTCAACCTGGTGGACAATGACTTCCCACTTGAGAACTGCCTCTGGCAGGTTGTGGATGATACTTTTGAGCTGTTGAACTCTCCACCTCAGCAGTGAAAAACTCATTGTCTACTCCCTTAGTTCTCCCTTCCATCTGCTGACTGCAAGGAGAGAAAAAGCATCTCCTTTCAGAATGCTGGACCAGAGGCTCCTAAACCCAGTCAGCGTTGCTGCTCAGAGTCAGGCAACTCTGATCAACCCCCATTACAAGCTCTTCTATCCCGACAAAAATGTTTCTTATCCCTTTCCACTGAACAGTAGCCAGAAGAACCACCTGTACTTCTGAGCTGAGGTTCTCTGTTGAGCTTGAACGCCAGCTCTGCAGAATGGAGGGGTGCTCACCATGGTTATGTTGATCACAGCTTGTAGGAGAAACCTTGCACACCAATGTGGTACAGCTCAGTGGAAGCCTGGCAACTTTCTTCTGCAAGGTATGCTGCTTTGGGGGCAGAAACACTCCTGTCAACAACATCTATGCAAGGAAGTTGATGCAGCAGCTATCAACCATAAAAAGAAGCTCGAACTGCTTTTACTTTGCACTCCAAAGATGTATTGCATCATGACTAATATCAGACTCTTTTTGTGCTCACTCCAGAAGAAGGTTTAATCTTTCCTAACTTTTCCTCTTAGCTGTACTTCCTAATTTGTAGTTTTTTTTTTTTAATGGGAATATGAATTCCACTTCTGGATGTGATCAAATAGGAATCACTCTACTTAAATGCACAATAAACTACATGTATACAAGTGTCTCTTGTACTAGACTAGATTATCTTAAGCAGCACAAAGAATAACGCTTGCAAACTAATCAACTTGGCCCAAGGGAAAGCTTTAAGAAAACAACTGATTGCAAGGCAGTGCTGCCTCCATTTCTAACACGTGCCCCAAAGGAAAGATGGACAAAGGAATAATAACCACCCATGGCCCCTGCCTCAGTTCTGCATGGCCACAAGAGTGGTAGTCCTTCTCCTTCTCCTTTCCTAGCTGTAGGAAAAAAATAACCTAATCTTTCTTGACCTAATGACTCCAGCAGACTTAGGCCTTGCACCAGTGAAAGAAGGGGCGGCCGAGGCTGCATTGTCCTTAATCCTGCAAAGCTACCCCAGGCTTGGAAAAACAAGACCTTGGGGCAGCTCCCAGTGGGATTTCGAGATCCCTGCTAAGCTGCGAGCATCTCTTTCAAACAAGCAAGGAAGAAAAGCCTTTTCGAGATTCTTCAAACCCTCTCATTACAGCTGTCTGAGACTGGGCTCATATATCCAGGGTAATTACAGGGCATCAATCACAGGAGCAAGTAATGGGAAGGTTGGGGGTCAGACACGCCTGTCTTCCCCCAGCAAAGCTTTTGGCGCTCAGCTGTTCCCAGCAGGTTTCTTCATCCCCAGCCCATTCAGTGCAGAAAGAAACCAGCAGGAAGCAGTCAAGAGGTTGGCCACCCACTGAAAGCCTTAATGAAGAGCTGATGGACTTGGACAGGGGGTGGGGGCCAAGTGGGAATCATCCCAACCACCCAAGGGAAGAGCCTAATCTTAAAAATAAGGTCTCTGTTCACAGTGACCAGCGTCAGTCCAAACTTTGGAATCGACAGCATGTAGCATTTCCACAGACACATTCCTGCTCACTTCTTCAAAACCACAGTTTGCTTAGTCCCTTACATGACACTAAGCTCTCAATTACCAAAAAAAAAAAAAAAAAAAAAAAAAAAAAAGTTAAGGGAGGTCCTATAAAGTATTTTTTGACTTTTAATCAGAACTCCAGCAAAATCAGGCTCTAGCAGAAAAGGGAATGCAACCTCACAACAAAAGCATTAAGCAAGTTCTCAAGTTTGTGCAGTAGGGAGGCAGAATATCAGTCCTTAAATAAGACCTTTCTCTGGATATCACCTCTTCCTGGTTGTCCTCTGGCTATCACCATGCTTTGGGCTTGCAGCACTGTTTTTAATCACACAGGTAGGTCATGAACTGCTTTCTAGATTGCAGGAGACCAGCTCTTTGTTGTGACTGCCAGCTGTATCCTCCACTCCTGAAATGAGCAGCTGCAGGCAGTGTCCTCTGTCCTTGAGTTGGAACACTGTGAGCTGACGCCATCTTCCAAATGCCTGAAGTAGAGGGGACAAATTAGAAACTCAGGTTGCCCTGGAGGGACTGCAGCCACCCTCACAGCACCAGTGAACCCAGCTCTTTCTCTAGCAGTGGCCAAGCCAGATGCCTCTCTGCTCACTTACTGTCTTCTCCATCCCCCCTGTGTTACTGTAGCCAACAAGGGAAGTGAAGAGTACAAATCAAAGTGACAACCTCCTCCCTCTGCCTTCCTTTCAATACTTGTGCTCATCGTGTAAAAGAGGACTTAATCCTGCATGGACCTTTAGGAGGCAGAGGAGGGAAGCGACTATTTGAGATACTGGGCTTTGCTTGCACATTCAAGTTTACAACAATTTGCCTGACCTGGGTGCAAGTCACCACAGTCCTCCAGTAACAGTGTGGAGCCTGACTGTTCCCTAAATGGGCTCTCAAGAGGCAGAGGATTCATGGATAAAGATCCTGTTATGTGTCCCTTCAAACCCTTATCAGAGTTCTGCTACCCCAAAGATAAAGCTAAATAAAGCTCAAAGCTATTTCCCCTTGTTTTGGGCAAGTCCCATTTCTTGATGTATTCAACTTCTCCTTCTTGATGTATTCAGCTTCTCCTTTCAGTAGTGCTTTGTCCAGGGAGGGAAATACAGGGAACATCAGTTGTCCCTTTGTGGTGTTTGCTGATCCACCACAGAGCCTGGCACCCCTTCCACCTTTCAATTCCTTAGTAAAGGCACACACCCACTCACCCTCACAGTAAGAAGAAGCTGTTTCCCACAAAACGACATAGGTGTCTGGAACTCATTTTACATCCCTCTAACCACAAACTGCCATTTGCTTATTATCTTTCTGATGGGACACTTCACAGGAACAAGGAAGCACGTGGGCCCAGACATAGCTCCATGTTCTGTTTCACCTTCCAGGTGGCAATAAGGGACAGCCCTCCCTGGAGTCTTGGCACCTTGAGCTTAGATCTGAACCTTTTAACCCTTATGGTTGTACCAGAGTTCTGGGGTTCAAAGAATAAAAGCAGCCTTGAGTGCTTACCTCAGACAGTAGGCTTCTGGCTTCAACCTCCAGAAACCTCTGCACTACACAGCTTTGTAAATACCGACGTCTCCATGCTCTCCAGGCCTTTTCTATCAGCCGCTGCTGGTCCTGCCAGGAAGAAAGGCAGTGCACAGATTAGATCATAGAATGGTTTGAGTTGAAAGGGACTCTTATAAGCCACCTGCTCCAACTCCTCTGCGATAAACAGGGACAACCGCAGCTCCATCAGTGCTCAGAGCCCCCTCCAGCCTGACCTTGGGTATCTGCAGGGATGGGGCACTGCCAGCTCTCCGGGCAACCTGTGTGCCACCGCCTCACCGCCTTATTGTAAAAAACTTCTTCTTATATCCATTCTAAATCTCCCCTCTTTTTGTTTGAAACCATTTCATCTTGTCCTGAGCAGAGGGGAGACAAATGACAGCTGATATTTCAAAGAGAAAGCTGGATAAAGTAGCCACAGCAGCAAACTGGGATTTTACGTGCACATTTGAGCATGTTAAATCCCCAGGTCTCATCTTCTAGAATGTAGTGGAGGCTGCAAGCATAGTGGGCTTATCCACTAACACCCATCATTGACACCCACGTGGCAGTACCACTCACCAACACCTGTGCCAGCATCACCACCCTGCTGGCTTCTTTCCACTGCTGCCAACCCCTTGCCAGACTGCGCAGCCTCCTGGCACGCTGGCACCGGCGCAGCGTCACCGTGTGATGCCACCACCTCAGGTACTTCCTCCTGTAGGCAAGAAAATGAAGAAAACAAGCTTTTGTCAGGGAGTCTTTTCCTGGTGGCAGAACAGTGATGAAGCTCAGAGCCCTCCAACTCTGCCTACCCAAGCCAATTGTCATTCCATTCATCGGAGTCCACCTCTGCTTTGTTCCCAGGGACAGGTCCTACCAAATCATGTCTCTCTAGCTGTTGAGGGAGCAGCAGCCTTTCAGTCCTCCTTTGGCTTCTGTAGATCACCAGCCAGCGGTGAACAGCACTGGGAAAAAACCCAAGGGAAGCAGCTGGAGCTGAGCCTTTCTCTCTGCATCCTCTGCTTTCTAGGAAAGAAAAGAGGAATCACACAGGAGCTAACAGGAGGAAGAGATTAGAGTTGCCACAGGTTCTCAGTCCTTTGGACGCTGAAAACAGAAGCAGTTCACAGTAAAAATTTGACTGCAGTTAGCATCTGCTTCAGAGAGAAACCCCAGTCATTAGGTTGGCAAGCACCTCTCCCCCCTCCCCGCTCACATACCCCACATGGCCCCACAAAAGGAAGAGAGAATGGGGTATCTTACTTATGGACAAAGACAAGGACATCTTCTTGCTCTTCCTAGCACCTATCAGGGTACTGCATTGCCGTGAGCACTGGGAAAAGGCAGCTGCTTTTGTCCAATAGTTGCAGGCCTGCAAACAGAATTAACACAGCTGCAACCAAGTCTAAACACATGCACACATACAGCACAGAAACTAGCCCTACAGATACACTTATGTTCATATCCCTGCAGGTAGTTTAATGTGCTAGACCCCAGGCTGGAAACTGCACAGATGAGATCCCAGCAGGACTGACTCAGTCTTTCAAAAAAAATCAATCCAGCTCTTTGTGGTTTATTAGCTGTGAGCCTTTTGAAATAGTATGCACCCCTGACAGCTCTGTCTGCTCTGTGGGGACAGTGATTATCCCATCCCACCTTTGAGCAGAGAGGAAGGAGTGCTCTTGTCTCCCTGGTCAAAAATATCCCCACTCCTTAATACTGTGCTCCAGATGGTTGCCAGATTATGGTGATGAAGTTGTTTGCACAGTCTGTAAAGAATTTCAAGGCAGAAACTAAGCAGTCACCACAGTTAGGACAAGCCAAACCAGGTTTTCCTACAAGCCCTGTCAATGCAGCTCAGTGCTCGGGGACCCACAAGCCAACTGGGTGTCCTAAATCATCTCAGAAGGACTTTCTTCTTACCTGTTTCACAGTGGCCACAGACCCCAAGTGCAGGGCTTGCTGTCCCCTTGAGGCCAATCGCCAGCGCTGACAGGCTTTAGCTTGAGAACATCCATGCCACGTGTGGCTTTTCTCCTCTCCCAGCAACTGCTGTTTAGCTGTCATGAACTTCACTCTCCATTCTGCAAAACTCACTTCTAGAAGATGCTGCTCTCTGACCCTTCTAAAATAACAGAGGGCTTCTTGCTGCCTCAGTCTGCAGGCAGTGACCTGGGCCCAGATGACTATGCACCTGAAAAACAGTACAAATGCAGAAAAGTGCTCTTTATCAGCACCAAACAGACAATGGGCCAAATTCCACCTTCTCAACCCACTCTGCAGTGTTATGTGTAAGTGGTCAAAGGAGTATGACTGCTCCCTTCTGGCCATTCCAGTGTTGCAGCTCTTTAAATACCCCTACAAACAGAATACAATATTACATTTTCCCTCTGCTGACAAGAAAAAGAAAGAATTAAATTAGTCAGTCTGATCTTTCCCTGTGCCAGCAGCTGATCTTTAGGATGATGCTTTATAGAGAAAGGCTGTTTACTTGTGGGATAAGAGTAATGACACTGCTGAAATTTCCTTCAGCACAATCCCAGCAGACCCAGTTAAGTCTTCCTGCTGCAGAACCAAGCTGGATTCAAAATAGCATCTCACTGTGAAGATGCAGAATTTCCTCTTTTTCTTGGCTGAAACGCTGAGGGCCTGCTGTACACAGGATATATGGCTGGAAAAGAATTATTCAAATTTTATTCAAGATTTTGTTTAACAAATAAACAAATCCTACAGTGTGTACAGGAGGAGACACAATTAACAGCACCGCAAATCTGCACCTACAATAACTCCTCCTCTATCTACTGTGATGCATGGAGGGCAGCCTCCCTGCACAAACCCAGAAGCAAATCTGCTTTTAACTCTTGGCTCGTCCTGTTGGTTCCTCATTCCACTTGGGTTTTCATTATGCAAACTGCCCCACTGCACCATGGGACGGAGGTGTAAATATCCTCTGCCTGGCAGGCTTCTCTGAAGATCAAGAGAATCTATTGCAGGTTATCCTAGCATGAAAAATGCCCCCCTCAGAAGAAACAGGGCTCAGCCTGCACCACAGCCATGCTGACTGGCAAGCTGATTTATTTATTGACATTAAGGTGAGAAATTAGAGGCGATCTCCCATCAAAAGAGGGCTCAGAAGGAAGATTAATGGTGGAGGCACTCTACGGGAAGGAGCAACATGAAGGACTTCTCCGAAACACAATTCCCACTAGGGTGCCACCACACAGATTGATTTGCAGAAGAAAATGCAACTGGGTGGGGTGAGCATAGATTCTAAGCATCACAGCTGCTAAGGTTTTACTGGGTTTCTTTTTTGTTGCTGCTTTTTCCTGACCTTCTCTCCTTCTGAGGCTGAGCCTGCAATTCATAAGTAAATCTGCTAGGAACAAACCTTCACTTCCCATGCCTTAAATGAATCCTTGGCATAAATCATCTCACTGATCAAACGGGTCTGAATACACTGGATCCGCTGCTACATAAATTGCTCTTCACTCAAAGCTTCCCTTGGAAACACTTCAAAGAAAGGAAACAAACCTGTGCAGGAGGAGACGCTCCCAGAATAAAGCAGCATTTTTCAGCTGCCTTGTTTGGCAGCGCCACGTCTGCAGGATCAATCTCTTCTTCTCCTGGCAGCTATGCTGAGCCCATCTCTGCTGCAGCTCCTTCATGTTACACTTCCCTATGAGAAAAGACAGGAGCTTGCTGAGATAAGTTCCACTTCTCCCTCCCCCATTACAGCGTCCACACAAGAGCAGACAATACACCTGCTGCAAATTGCAGTCTAGGAAATCTTAGTCTGGCCCATCATCTCCCAAGCAGCTGAAAAGACTACTCAGTTCACCCCTTCCCCAATCAGCCTCCCTGATTGCATCTCTCTGGCATCAGTTATACACAGAACAGGGCAATAAGGCTCTCACTCGCCCTTAGACTAATGTTCACACGCCTACAACCAGAAGCAGGAGTTTCTCCAGCCCAACCATTCCCTCAGTGTTCTTATACAGAGGTAAATGCTGCTGTAGGATGGAGTAACTTACTTTGACAGTAGGAATGCCAACGCCAAAGAGCATCAGCAGTCATCTGGTGGAGGTGACTCCTGAATCTCTGGTCAGCTTCCACTTTCTGGACCAGTCTCTTCTTCCACAAGCTGAAAACCACCCGGCAGCAATTAAGCTGGTATTTAAGGGCTGCTGCTACTTTTTGGTTCTTGTTCTCTGCAGCCCAGTGGTGCCATCTGAGAAAGGCTCTGAGAAAGAAAAAGATCATTGGAGCATCTGTAGGAACAACTCAGACAGATTCATACATTTGGAATCAAAACCTTAACAATAAATATATGTGAGATATTTTAGGAAATGCATCATATCTGTTCAGATCCTTTCCTAAGTAAATGTCAGGGTAAACCAAAGGCAGGGCAGGGTGTAAGGCAGTAAGGTATTCTGTCCTGGCTGTGCCAAGTCTTCTGTTCTCTGCAATTTCTGAATAAGTAGAGAGCAAGGCCAGTTCAGGAGACAGGAAGTTACCAAAGCTTGACACCAGCAGCACTGGGCTCACTCTAACTTCTGAGGCAGCTCATCAACGCAGAGAGAACAGCGTTTAGATATAATAATTTTGAAGCAGGAAAATAAAATAATGGGCTGCAAAACTTCCACTGAAAAAGAGGAAAGTTCTTGAAAAGCAAGTGTGGAGCTCCTGAAACAGACAGCTTCAGGAAACTTCTGAGAAACACAATACCTACCGAGACAGCTGCAGAAGCCTGCAGTACTGCTGGGCCTTTGTGAGTTGCTGAGTTCGAGTGGACCAGATGATGAAGTACTTCTCCAGGCAGCATTTCTCCACATGGTGCCAGGAACTCTCCACCTCCTTCTCAGAGCTGCAGTCCTGTAATTCAGAAAAACAAAGTCCTGAACTGCTGTTTAGACACAGTCACTCCCTACAGCTCAGCCTGTTCTTGCTGCTGTGACTTCTGTGGAAGTGACATCTAAGTCTCTGTTGCTAATCATCCCCCCCACACTCACACACATCTATATACAAGGGTCTGACATGATTTTTAAATCCCAGGCAGATGGACAACTTCCAATTCAACTAGAAAATGAACAGGAAGAGCTGCTCTAAGACGTAGCTCAACCGCCCCACTCTCCCCCCAGGCCTTCTGTTCGATCACAAGAAGAGAAGAAGTGAGATCTTCCATATCCTGACACCTGAAACCCAAAGGCTCTTTCCTCATTTGGGCCACACAAAAAGCAGTTATACATTTACATGCATTGCATTCATTTTTGGGTCTCACCTCTTCCCATGTAGAGTAACTGACAAGAGGCTGGACATCACTGTCTGCACTCTGCAGTGCCAAAGACTGGAACTGACCTCCCACAAACCAATTTTCTCTGCAAGAAAAATATGTCAGTCAGGAAAGCAAGAGAAAGAAGAAAGTATCTGTAAGGCTGTTGTGAGATGGTGTGAGTGACTGTGCTGAAAGAATGAATTTGGCCAGACCAAACAACCAGCATCCCAAGGAACAAGTCTCCAACTTACCCAGATCTAGTCCTCCATGGAGGAAAGGAAGCCTGCAAGCACAGCTCCCCACCCAGCTCAGCTGGCAGCTCTGCACATTGGTGTAGTTGCAGGAAAGAATTGTAATAGGGCAGGTATGGCACATCCTCAGCAGTCAGAATGGAGGAGCAGCTCTGCTGGCTGCTGTCACTAAAACTGTATTCCTGCACATAAGGAGAAAAAAAGACACCATGAGACAAGTGTTCTAACAGTAGAATTACTCTGCTAACAGTTCTGACCATTCTGACCATGTCATTTACACCTCCTTTCAGCCAAGAATCAGGAAAATCCAGAATGCATCCAAAGGAAATGCAGGCTAGCAAGGGCAGCTCCAGAGCACAAACACATCCTTGATGGGAAAGCAAGCCATCACAGAGGCAGCAAATATGCCTGTTTGACCTTTTCTCAGTGAAGAGCTTGTTTGTATTTCATCCCTTCCACCTTGCAGCCACAAACAGGAACAAAGTACACACGAGAACCACACTAACTCAGCAGTTCCCAGTATCACTACATGAGGAGAGCTGAGAGAGAAGTGAGTTTACAACTTCTGATGCCAGGACCCTACAGCTTGAGAGCTCTTCAGGTCTAAATACTGAGCACAGTTTCTTAATGACAATTCCACATTGAAGCAGATTTTATTTCCTGAAAAATCCTAATTTCAGAGCAGTTCGTACATAGAGGACAGAGAAAGGACCTGTAACAAAACTTCCTCACCTTTTCCAGTGAGCTTTGAGAGGCAAGAGTAGTTGCAGCACTGCTGTGGAAGCCAGAAGATGTTGAGCGTTCCTCACAAAACAGCACAGCAAGAGGTTCTTCATAGACAGCCCTGTGAGAGTGCTGAGGACTTTGTTTGTTTGTCTTCAGCATGAGATACTTCTGGTGCCACAATTTCAGAGCTTTTCTGAGTCTACGCTCCTCCAAAGCCTGAGAGAAAGAACTGAGACAGAAGATATTGAGATGGCAAAGTGACTGAAGAGAGATACCAGAGGGGGACACTGGTAAAGATTAGATGGATAACAGATAGAACAAGAGGTTTTTCCAGGGGGACTGGGAGTCAAGTGGATACAACCAAAGAAGGCTCCAGGAACTGGTTTTGTCACTCACTCAGCTCTGCAGTGCTCGTACAGCCTCTCCTTCCACAACAGATACACTCTCTGGAGTTTCATCTTTAGGCAGAAGTCATCAAGAGAGGAACCTGTTTTCTCAGGAAACTTTGGCACTACAGCCCACCAAGGCCAGCTGTCATCACCTTCTGTTGTAGTTCTGTGAGATACTGAGCTTACAGCTGGTCCTTAGCCAATTATAGAGATTGACAAGAGAAAACAATTGTCAGAAAGCATTCATATGAAACTCAGTCCAGCCCAGCTCTCTAACAGCTTTCTTTCAAGGCTTAAGGCTTTCTTCTGGGTCTATGAAATAGGGACCAAATTGCTTATAGCATTAGAGACACATCCAGAACAACTAGCCCTCCACCTACTGCTCATGGTATTTCTTAGTTACATGTACTGAGAACTGGAATGGGTTGCCCAGGGTCCTGGAGACCTTCAAACTCAGGCTGGATGGCTTAGAGCTCTAAGTAACCTGATCTAGCTGTAGATGTCCTTGTTCATTGTTGGACTAGATCACCCTTAATGGTTCTTTCCAACTCAAAAGATTCTGTGGTTCTATTTATTATCTCTGCCTCTCTATTATCAGGCTGTTTTCAGTTGTTTTTCAGGCTTCAGTTCACTGTACAAGTGGAGAAGGAATAAGTCTCAGCAACTCCAAATCTTAGGTGCTCCACAAGCCCCATGACACTCACCATAATGCTGCCTCCATCTCAGGAGGAGGAGGTTCACCACTGCCTGCTTATTGCTTTCTCTGACCCGCAGCATCTGAAACCACTGCTGGAAGTATTTCTTCATTGATTCTACTCTGAGATGTGTCAGGCTGCTCTTGTAATAAGCCTTTAGCTCAACAGCCTCTTTCCATGCACTGAAGCACCTGAGAAAGACCAAAGGAAAACAGAATACTGAACTACTAAATCTTTTTCTGGACTTTGACTTCTGAGTCCTTTAAATCAAGTTTGTACTGCCACTAAAATCAGATCTGTTTTGACCAAAATATATTTCTACCTTTATTAACTCCTAAAATAAAATTAAAAGATGACTTTAAGATGGAGCAACGCATCATTATCTGGATTGGCACCATCATTCCTTGGACTTCCAGAATGAACTTTTTTCCACATTAAAAATACATCTCATCAACTTACCAGGAGACCAATTTCCTTTGGATCCGAATTGTCAGCCCTAAAATCTTTTTCTTTTCCAAGTATCGGGACTGCCACACCTGGAAAATGTTTTGTAGCCGCTTCTTTTCCATCAGGGCACGTGCTTCCAGCAGCCTGCCTTCCTCATTGCTCAGCAGCTCCTTCTGAAGGCGCCACAGTCTGAAAGCTGCTGTGTTACAGGGCAGGAACAGATTGACAGGAAGAAAAGCAACTTAGAAGAACTTGAAACAGCTTAGTGTCACACAGCAATCATTCCCAGGCTGAACTCTAGCTGTCCGGAAAAGGCACTTAATGGAGATAGATCACACTGCTGGAGCAACAGTATCTGCTACAGCTGAATTTGTATAAGCAGCAAAGCAGAAGCGTACGGCAGGGCAGGTAATCCACCCTCTACCACTACAGATATTAGCCCAGCTGTTTGCAGGATCAGTTTCTAGAAGAGCCAGGTCAATGCAACAACTACACCCTGACCAAGAAACGTGGTGAAACAGTGGCTCCATTCAGGCTGCTCCACAGAGCGCGTGCTTACCAGCTAGGCGCCTCACATCTCTTATTGCTTGAGCTCTCCAGCAGAACTCATCTCCTCTCTGCCTGCGATGAAGCTGTGTCCACAGTTCTCTCTCCACCCTGAAAGTTGCGAGTATGCCTTAAAACCCTTCTGTCCAGACAGATGCAAAGTGAATCCAGAGCCTCCCTTCTCCCTGGGTAGCCCTATCTTTTTGTCCAGATTTGCTCTCCTGCCTTCAGAATCAACAGGATGAATGATGGTCTTTTCTTTTGACCATTTCGTGTCCTGCTAGACTGTGGTACTGGAGTGGAACAATACTATTTACACTCATATTCCATATGCAGGAGATAGCTGAACTCAAGAAAGAGTACAGCACAGCTGTGTCAGACACAAATCAGACTTGAACAGTAGTGCATTATAAACTCTAAGATACCAATTACTGCAGCAGTTATCTGCAGCAAGCAATCCATTCACAGACCCGGACACAAGTTTCACACCCTCTGAAAAAATGTCTGTAAACCTCCACTTGTCTGAGATACAGTAGGAGAATCCTCTCAGCTTACCTACAAGCCTGCTCAGCTTCCTTCATGTATCCTTCTGTAAGCTGGTGCTGAGCTGAGGTTGTCATAGTTGCTAATCTTCCTATTCCAGAAAAACCCACCGATGAACTTTGGGTACATGAATATGACTCAGACTGTGCAGCTTGTTTTTGGCTCTGTTTTGTCACAGCTTCCTTCCACTGAAGAAGGAACCACATGGTTAAAACAAACTGTAGGCAGAGTATCAGCACCAGGGGCCACATCACTGAATTTCAAACAGGTGCCACTTGTACTGCCCCCGGCCCATCCTCACCTTGTGGAAGCTGGCAGCTAAAAGAGCTGAGGCACATCTTTGCTGGGCTACCAAGCCAAAAGCACTGAGGGCCTTTTGAGGCTGCTGCTGCCTTGCTGCAGCCTTCTTCCAGCTGACGTGGTCCCTCCAGGCATGGAAACACCTAGTTACCATTTGTCTGTCAAGTAAGTGCTGGAAACTTTGAGAGAAAACGCACAAGTGAGCTCCAATAACATACAAAAATTAAACGCAGACAGAAGTTGGCAATCAGACTTCAGGCATCAAACTGAAAAGAAATTCCCTCTAAAGAGTGAAAAACCTGCAGCCTCACACCACACTAAGATGTCCATCTCATGTTCTTCTGATCCACAGATGACAAATTTCAATCCCATCTCATGAATAAGCCCTGTTCTTGATCTTCACTAACTCTGGAATGAGCATGCTACAATTTGCTGCAGTGAAAGGTTATGTGTAGTACCAATGCTTTTTCCATCACTATGGTAACTGAAGTTGAATTTAGAAGGAAGAATTTTAAAGATAAAAATATTGGTTTTTAAAATACACTCCATTCTAGACAGCCAGCTTTTGAAAACAACCAGATGTAGCTCCTGAGCCAACCATGGCAGACCCACTGCTAAATCCTAAAGCCAGGAATGGTTCCTCAGCCATTTTGCAGCAGTTTTCCTCCCATTAGCTACCAGCACACTCACACGAAAATTCTGAGTCCTTTTTACCTTTGCTCATTCACCTTTGGAGACCAGCAGCTGTTCTCCGACACCTGAAAACAGACAGAAGACAACAGTCATTCCAACACCCTACTGTCAAAGAGTTTGCCTGTGCCCAGCATGGTAAGCCATTTTGGATGGAGTCCAGAACAGTCCTGCTAAGCATTGCGTGTTACATTGGGTGCTTTTGCTCTGAAAGCTCTCACACACTTCAGCCACTAAAAGGCACAACAAAACTGGAATCTCAGAACCCTGCAATTAAGCAGGGAAGAAAAATTGCTTAATGCTTTTGGTCCGCATGTAGATCCTGGGAATATAAACAGGTCTTCACATTCCCAAGACCAACCAAGTGAACAAGCTGGTGTTTAGGAAGATGCACGCAAATGTTGAGATGGAGAAGGACCAGAAAGAGGAGATTCTGACCACTCAGAGGCAGAAAAATAAATGACAAGCATTTCCATCACTGCTAGGCTTCAACTTTGCACTTCTATCAGAAAGTAGAGATAAGCACAGTATCTGCTATTAGGGATGCTACACAGCAAGCCCGCCCTCACCTCACTGGGCACAGCTTCCTGTGTCTGGCTCCCTTCTTCACAGCACCGTGGTTCTTTGGCACTCTTCTCTACACAAGGTTCTTCACGGTGGTCAGGAGCTTCCCAGTTCCTCCATCTGCTTTGCTGGAAGTGTCTGTTTCTCCTTTCTTCTCTGTTTGCATTCACACGTTCTATGTTGGAACAGTCACCAATGTCTTTTCCAACCTGAGTGCTGAAGAGGCTGGACTGGCTGCCCCCCACTGCCATCCTGCTGGCTGCTGGAGATCTACAGTCACATACCTCTTCTAAGCCTTTGCTGGACTCAACAGGAGGTTTGGGGTTCTTGACTTCTACAGATTTAATGCTAAGCTGCTGTACTGGCCTAAACTCTTGATCTCCAGAAGTGACTCTTACACACACTTCTCTTGGAGTCCCATACATGGATATGCCAACGTTCATCTGAGTCCCAGCCAACCACGTTTCCAGTGACAAGTGCTGACCCTCAGGGTGGTTTTTTGTCCAAGGCATAGCACATAGGGTTGCCTCACCAGATGTCCCTTCTGCTTTAAGAACCCTTTCACATGAATGATTTCTTGTATGAACATAAAACCCACCAGTTTCCAGAGTCGGCTTTGGCTGGGACTGGCATCTGAAATAAGGCGAGCAATCGTTGGAAGAATCTTCTGTATCCACAAGCCTGCCAGAGCCCATCCCAGCAGACAGCCTATCTGGATGGATGCCACCTGAAAGTTTGGTTCTCCACATGCTCGAGTCAATGTATCTGCATCTGTGAGAGACAGAGAGGGGTTCAGCGTGCCCAAAGTCCCTCGTCACTGCACCAAGGCTCGTGCCTTTAGCAAATGGAATGCTCCATCTCAATCTTGCCTGAGCAGCACTAGTTTTTGCTCCAGCTAGCTGTTCTCCTGTGCTCAGGATAGTAGGAGCTGGATCATCAGGAGCAAAGCACAAACTGCCACTGACTGGAAAAGACTTGGGCTCCAGAGGAAGGGAGGCCCGGCTCCCCATGAAAGCAATTTCTTGCTTCAGCCTCCAGATTGAACAGTACAAAGCAGCAGAAATTTGTGAGGACTGCAAAATAGGCTGAAGAGACTCCAAATTAGATGGACTGAGATCACCTGAAGTCAGGGCTGAACTACAAGTGTTGATGCTTTCCCTTGAGCTCCTTGAGGAAATACGCAACACTAATTTGTGCCTAAGAGGGCAATCTACAGCATGAAATGGCAAAGGTGTATTGACCAGCGAAGGGTTCCCAGTATCCATACAAGACACAGCAGGTGGCTGCTGCTTTTCCACTGGATAGTCACTGTTCTTATTCCTTCCTTCTAAACAGTGATGATGAGCAGTAGGCACAGAGCAGCTACCAGCTGCCTTTGCTTTCTGACTGTGCTGCTGAGGAAGGCCAAAATTCTCATTCCTTCTCCCTTCTAAGCTACAAGCCTCAAGGTGACAGTGTCCCTGAGGGAGTTCTGCAGCAGGAAGTGTGGACACAGCAAGATGAGGAGTCCTGTGAGCCACGTGCTTCGAGCTGTGCTGCTGCAGCTTAGAGTAGAGATTATTTTGCAGCTGGGAGCAGGATCTGGAGAACTGACTGGTGGTATCCTGGAACAGCTGAGAAGGCCAGGAGAGGTCAGTCTGTAGCAGTCTGGGCTCTCTCTGCCCAGCTGACTGCGATGAGGTGCACAGCCAGCCCTGTTCTGTCTGCCTGGGAGTTACGCTGAGTGCAGCAGCTTCAAGCCAGTGATGAGAAATATCTGCTCAACTTCTCGCACCCGAATACAGATCAACATTCACATCCTTCTGAAAGATTCTTTGCTCTGAAGAAAAACAAGAAGAAACATAAACAAAGGAGCATGCCTATTTCTTGACCCATCTTCCCTCGTTTGCCACAGGCTTTGGGTACTTTCCTACTAAGTCTCTTTGTCCCTGGTCCACCAGCCTTAATCCTGGAAGTAATATGGCACTATATCCATCCTGCTGTCAGCAGACAATCACGACCGAGAGCAGGAATGACTGAAGGGAAAGACTTAATCTGCAACAAAACTGCTGGAAGACTTTAAAACAAACACAAGTCAGAGCAACCTGGTTCCATCTGGATTACAATGATTACCCTCTCTTCATTGATCAGAAATCAAATTCACATCTCCTCCATGCCCATTTTCTCCATGGCTGCTAGCAATGGTGCTGCCTGGACTTAAGGTACTGTTTAACTGTGTGTCAATTTCAGGTTCATCCACAAATTGTGTTGCAGCCCTGCAAAGGCTGAAGGCTACATAGGGCAGTTTCTCCTTATCCACACTACAGGACAGAACCGTGTTTAAACATGCAGAGAAGTGACACTGTCCCCCAATTTGGAAGAATTACAACATACATGGGAGACCTAATTTGCAGTCTAGCCACTAAGTCAGATGGTTACACACATAGATCTCATGCAGAACAGATCCTTAAGTTGTGGATAACAGCAGTAAGTGCCATTCAAGGGAACTGTGCTTTCATTCCCTCAAATTTTAAATGCAAATGCCAACTGCTGTCATTCCAAGCATTCTTTGCCAATCCTCTTCTAAAAAATGAAATTGATGGGGTGAAAAAGACACGCAGCTAGATCATCTTTAAAAAAAAAAAAGAGAAGAAAAAAAAGCCCAAACAGCCAACATATAAAAGACTGCAGGAAATAAATGCCCACCATCTTTTTCAAACACACTCAAGTAGCAGAAGGTCTCCATTCAAGTGGCATTGTTTCCAAAGTATGTGAGCCTTGGACATCCCTGGCTGCAAGCAGCCATATAAACTCCTTCAGTAACTACCACAAGGTGGGGACTGCCAAATGGACAGCAGGTCATGGTGCAGTGTTGCAATTATCCTTGGGAACTGGTGTTTCTGCCTTTCAAATCTCACCAAATGCACTGTTTTTGTTTTTTTTCAAGCCAAGTAGAAGTTGGCAACTTACAGAGCGAGCAGACAAAGCACTGCTACCTTCTTTAGGGCATCTCTCACTGCAACCAACTGTAACATCAAAATGTAGAATGGCGTTCTGCAGGAGCTCTCCTTGCATCCCAGGAACACCCAACCAAAGATATCGCACAGAAGTTTTACAAAGGGTTTGGAATTGTCAAACTTATCAGCTCTGGTTTGTTCCATGAACATCTGGAACTTTGGCTCTGGGTTGCTCTGTTGTTTTTTCACTTCAGCAGTTCTTTCTCAATATTCTCAATATTGAGAATACTCAATACATTGCCATGCTGATTTGAGTTGTTTTTCACCTGACATATCCCTAATTTTGGTCTCACTGAGACCTGAAAGAGAAAGCCTCCATTAAAACTCATGTGTGTTGTCCTTTCTGTGATTACCATTCAGACCTTACTGTAGCCACTTATAAGCAGTATTTAATCCTACTCGAAAGGCAATAAGATTTTATGAAGTGCCTTTTAAAATTCCCTCTAAGGCCACAAGGCAAACAGCATATTGCAAACTGCAGAAATCCACAACCAATGGATTCCATAAGAGCTTTTATGCCTGTAAGCATTTAACGCGTGTAGCATGATGCTAATGCATTAAAACCCAAAATCAATCCAATTCTGCAAACAAAAATTAAGCTGATCAGTTTACTTCTGTACTACAAGCAAAGTAAATAGCACAGCCGATGGGAAGCAAATAAAGCTCTTTCAAGTGAGCACCACTCGAGCATTATGATATCGAGGAAGATAAATGACAAACACAAGTACTGCACAGACAACTCCATTCTTCCCACCCCTGCTGACCGAGGCTCATGTTCCAAGTTGGAACCAGCGATTGGTTCAATACCACACCAACACGCTTCCAATCACAGAACCAACAGCACAGAATGCCTCAGAAACAAGACTTCTGCCCCCCAAACCAAACCGTCACCATTACGGCAAGCTTGGCCTCGAGCCTCGTGGCGTAGCACTCCTCCCCAAAATATAGAGAAGACGGTCACTGCTCCAGCAGCTGACACACTTACTCACTGCCAGGGCTGCTGGCCATACTGCTCGGCCTCGCCAGAACCTGGGGGGCAGATCAGCACCTCTTTGTCTGCTCCTCTGAAGGCAGGGGCAAACCGGCTGCTTTGTCCCCCTTCAACTCCCAACTCCAGCAGTGAGCTCCCTCCAGCTGGGCTGCCCTAAGCAGCTTATCCCCTCCGATTAGCAACGCCGCCTGTCACCAGGGCTGCAGATGGCCACGGGAAAGCGGCTCTCGCCCACGGCTAATTAGAACAGCGTTCTCAAGGCAGCCCAGACGATGTGGGGTCTGGCACTGCAGGGCAGCTCAGCCACGACCTCTCTCGGGTGTTGCTGCTCAAAGCGCCCTCTCAGCTCCACGGAGAAGGACGCCGTTTCCTCCTCTTCACCCGCGGGCTGCCAGTGATGCTCTGGGTGGGAGCACGGTGCTCCCTGCGCCGGGCCATGCCCTGCCCTCAGCCCCACGCCACTGAGGGAGAGGCGCCAACGGCTGGTTTTTCTTCCTCAGAAGCCAGGAAGGGGCACAGTTTTTATTGTCATCTGTCTCTGCTTTACTGCCCAGAGTTGGCATCCTTGATTCACAGCAAGTGCACTGACACCCCTGCCTTGCTTTGCTCCTCTGTGCTGCCCTCACATCTGCTGACCTCTCCGCAGGAAAGCACACAGCACATCAGCTAGATGGGCACTGATACAGATTTGGCTGTGTTTTGTTTTGTTTTCCAACTTAGAACAGCTTGGAAGAGTTTCCTTAGATGTAACCATATGTTCATGCTCAGGAACTCAGGAAGTGCTGCATTCAAAGCAGCCATTTTGTCTGTGGTCCACAGGTCTAGGGAAGAAAAAGCTGCCTCTCTCCTGAGTGTTTAAACACATTATTCAGGGATCCATACTGACACTGCACAGTTCTGAAGAACAGTAAAACACTGAATGTGTCCACTCTGCCACTTTATAGAAAACAAGCTCTGCCTACCTAGTCTTCATCATGGGAGAGTAAATCAGATTAATGCAGCTCTACAGCATCTACCAGGTGTTCATCCAAGCATAAGCAACATTGGCCCAGGCACAGCAGCAGGCCACCATAATGCTCATGCTGTAAAGGGAATGAAGCATCTGCTAATGTTTAGAGTGACAAAACCTGAGAGAAAAATGCTTGCTTTTAAAGATACATCTGGTACGTTTCTAAGGGCTAGAGCAGGGTTAACAGGGTTTTGGTCGTTGAAGAGTCAACACAGCAGCAGGTCTTGTCAGAGAAATGCAATTGTCAAATAACAGATGTATACTTTGAAAGTGAACCTGCTGCAGAAAAGCACAGATCTTCCCAGCACTTGTATTTTCCTTCAGCCAAGGCTGACAATCTTTTCTTCTTCTAACAAAACCTGCTGAACATTTGTTTTTAAGAATTTCCCCCTGATAGCCACAGCAGGGCAGGTTTGCTGTGCATAAGATCCAAATTTATAGTTTGCCACGTTCCAGAGCTCACCACTGCAGTGCAGAACTACACAAAGCCACCCCTGCCATTCACCAGTCCTTCCTTTCCTCACTCACCTCCACTGCCCACACATCTCCATGCAGAACTGTCCACATGTTTACATTAAGCTTACAGCAGAGCCACTGAAGCCTTGTAGCCCTTGTCCCATAACAACTCTCCAGACTACAGTCCCAGAGCCTCAGGAATAGCAATATTTTCAAATGAAACATGGGTGACCAGTGTAATTTTTTTTCTAACACAGAAGAACTGTATTCATTTCATAGTTTTCTTAGAAAAGTATAACACTTCAAGTCCTATTAAGGCAGGCAGCTGAAGGCAAAAGAACATTTCAAGGCACAGAGCACACGTAATCAACATTTACCAGCCATTTTAAGTATCCTGAAGGACATTTAACTTTCATAAAAGCATCAATGAATGCTCCCTGGCACTTTATACAAACCCCAGCTGCACGTAAACCACCACAGCTAGCACATGGAGTTATGGTCATAAATCTTAATTTAAAAACATCATCAAAAACAGCCTTCAAGAACTCCCAGATGTTTCCTGGAAACGTACCAGCAAGAAGACAGGCTAAACTGTGCTGTCTTAGGGGCAGTCCATCAGCTTGTTAAAGATAGCTTGCCCAGGAATATTTTGTGCATCTCCCTTACTTACAAACGAGAGGAGGCACAACACAAGACTTGGAAGAATGCAGAAGGTGCATCCACTTGCACATACAGAGGAGGGATTTAGGGGGAGGGAGGAAAGCAGTGTGTTGGAATCACAAAGAGTCACAGAGCTTAAGGTTATCTGAGATGTTCTGGGCTCATTCCAGGAACCCCTCTGCCTAATCTTCAGGAAGGAAAAAGAAAAGTCAAATCAGATCCTCTCCTGTTTGCTCAGTAGAAGGTCTTGTTTCATCAGAACAGACGTGGGAGGAGCGTGAGGCTGGACTGAGGGAGGGAAGTGTCCGTTCTGCTGCAGACAAGGGCCTCAATATGGATGCTGAGCTGTCTTGCTTGAGTCAGGCCACAGCGGAGAGCTTTCCTGCTGATCGATTGTCTCATAGGCACTGCGGTCCCGGCCTGCACGGTTGAGACCTGAACAAGAAGAGAACAAGCTTGATGAAAAAATGAATACAAAAAACTGAATCTCCTAGAAGAAACCAGAAGTTGAGGTGCATGCCACATTACCACGGCAGGCTTGTTTTTATGCAGCAAGGATGCTGCCTAGTAATGAAGAGGGCTTTTGTTTCAAAAGAAAGACAGAGGACCTGGAAAATCACAATTCAGTTCTAAAGAAAAATGCCAGTTAGTAGGAAAAGAGAAAATTTGTCAATCACATTCAACAGAAAATAACAGCACATGGTTTGTACTGAAAATGTTGTCAGGAAGACATTTCAGAAGAAGATAAAAAAAGTACTACGTGACTGAATTCCAACTTGTGCCTGGGAAGAGATTCTGACAGCATGCTGTGCTGAACAGCATGGTAAGGAGGAAGAATACTCAGCTATGCTTTCTGTAGGATACAGATGTTAAATCCTAGTCACAAGTACACTCAGCAGGTAATAAAAACTGGCACAAACGTGGCACACTGGCCTTCTGAGCCAGCTAAGAGAGATCTGCATGGCATTTGCACAAGCAGCTGATGGAGAAAACATCCACATTCTTCTACCAGAAAGTGCAAACAATACCCTGAAGCTGCTGTTTTCCTCTGACAGCCTCTCCTTTTTTATAAGTACCCACCACTTTTCACAAGAAGCTTCATCATTTTTGCTAGCACCAATGCAGTCTAAGTAGCAGCTTTCAAACACTACAGTGCCTGTTGTACCACCTTTTGTCCTACAAAGCCTTAGGAAAGAAAAAGATAACTGTACTAGGCTGCTGGTTGTGCCAGGATGAACTCCCACACAGCAAACAATCTCTGGCAGCAGCCCCAGGAATGCTTGGCAAAGAAGCTGACAGAATACCCAACCCTAACACCTCTCTCTGGCAAGGCTGCCACATTATTCCTAGCAACTGCAGCCAGGAGGAAAAATGAGTGCCTCCAAGCAAAGGAGCACAAGGTAAACATCAGTCCCATTTCCCAGGTAAGGAAACAGCAGTCCACAATAATCAAGTTAGCAAGGGCACAAAGCATGGAGATAGAAATCCACCCTTCCCTCACATGCATAATCCAGGTGGAAGGAATGATGCCTTAACTCTCCCATAGAAGGAAAAGGTCAGCAAAGTGAGAGGGACACCCAAAGGCTTCCAAGAAGTGCATAAAATGAAGGAAGTGGAAGAGAGGAAAAACCTGAGTTAACTGAGTAAGAGTGACAGCAGTGACATCAGTACCATTGTAGGCAAACTGGCTGTCAGACGAGGACTCCAGGTCTGCAAGGGAAGAGAGGAAGAATGTAAATTTAAGGCCTAAGACTCAGCAGGAGCACAAAAGGGAGAAAAGACACGAGGAAGAGAGAGGCCATCCTCCTCCTTGGAAAGAAAGGCAGGATCCAGCTGCACAAGGCTGAGGCTGAAGGGTAAAGAGTCTTCTCCAGCAGCCTTCCCTAACAGGAGAGGACGTGGCCCACACTGATGTAGAGGAAGCACCCTACCTATGTTGAAGATGTAGTCCCCTCCACGCTCCCGGTACATTCGATACACAAAGTAGCAGGATCCAGGTTTCAGGAGGAGGCTGAAGATGGCCATGCCCATACTGAAACGCTTCACATCGCTAGGATAACCACGCAGAGGGTAGTAGACAGAGATGTGAATGATGTCTGTGAGGACTGTGAGCAGCAGGCCGGTCAGGAACTGGGAAGAGAGAACAGGACATGAACTGGATGAGGGATTAACTACCAGGAGTAACAGCCAGTTATAGGTTCTATCTACTAGAAGATCAATGTTCACACAATCATGCTTTTACCTCTGTATAACACAGTGCTAACCCTTCACATGCCCCCAGGTACACAGATAATCCTAAGTGATCTCATACATCACGCATTTTCTTCACATCTGCTGGACGCCTTCTACTGGTATCTTCCACGGTTGTTTATTTTTGCTTGCCAATTTCTTCAGTGATCAGAGAAGAGATTTAAAAGGCATCTCTAACTCAAGCATATTGAATACTCAGAGTCTGGCGTTAAAAGTGACAACAGCAGGCAGAAAAAAAGAATCAAGTATGCCTTACCCCCGAGAAGCAAAATAATGGATAGTGAATGCTTCTCACCACATTTTATAGTGCTTAAGTAGAAGCCAGGCTCCCTCGGGGAGACTAGAATAAATAAATAAAGAGTTTGACTTGTTCACTGCTGCACTGGGAGCAGCTGAAGATCATCACCGATTCAAAGGAGCTTTTCTGCCCTCCACCCTCTCCCTGGTGGAGGCAAATGCCCTCACACTCACCATCACGATGGCATCAAGGGAATCTCGCTGCACAATGGCCCAGATCCCCACTGCAAGGACACTGAAATTCCCCCAAGCATAGGAGGCTGGAAACGAGTTATTCATGCATCCCCTGCCAAACAAGACAAAAAACCCAAGCCAAGTTCACAAGGAGCCCGCAGCACTGTTGGCATTTATCCCTGCTCCCATACAACCACTGGGACTTAGGAGCTCCTTGCACACAGGCATGAACAGGGAGTGCTGATTCCCCAAGAACATCCCATTCCTAGTTTGAAGGAACATCCTCTTCTCAAGCCAGGCCAGTTACCAATCACTCACCACACTGTGAGCAGCCAGTGCACCAGAATGATGGCCTATGGAAAAACAGAGAGGAAGACAGATCAGCAATTGGGAAAACTGTGGGAAAAACAACAGAAAGTTACACCACCTCACCTCCATGAGACAGAGAGGGAGAGTGCCCTGGAACCAGTGCAAAAACTGCCCTAGCAACTGGGCCAGCAAAGACAAAACCATTTTTCTCTGCTGCTGCTGCTGAGCATTTCCTGTGGTGCTCCACTATAGTCGTTCACTACTGTCATCATCACTGCTGACAGTTGATTCAGAGCACACTTCAGCCTTTTCTAAATGTGTTATTGATTTTGGAACTCTAGCAGAGTTTGTACTGCAAGCCAGACAATCTGATTCACAGCTTATACAGGACCAATCTGGTGTCCCACCACCAAGAAGTCCATGAATAGACAAGACTGCAGCTCCCAGCATTTCTGCTGTGGTCCTCAGTGAATTCCCCTTCATCCCCTCTCAACCCACTCACAGCAGCAGCCTGCCTCAGCTCAATACTAAGAGACCTGAAGCCATCTTCTAGGAACCTAAAACCCCAATCCTGCCATGCTACACCACTCTTTTCACTTCCAGTGACACACCAGTGCCCAAATACTGCTACATTTATTGACTCAAAATGTCTAACTTCACAAGAACTCTTTGCTTCAAGAAAGTTAATGACCCATGAAGCTGTGACATGAGTGAAACCAGAAGGAGTGATGCCTTGGACTGTCCAGCCACGATGTCACAACATAGATACTGTAAGACAAGGCTCTTGTTCCTCTCTAGCACCCTATCACATCTGCTGAGCATTCAGCATGGACCGTCTGAACTTCAAACGCTGCTCAAACAGGTTTTTAATAATGATTTTTTTTTTAATTGCTCATGAAAGCCTACAAAATGCTTCAGCGCCACCCGCCGCCTCCCCTCCTCCCTGATTGCACCGCAGAGACCAGGCAGAAACTGCTAATCAGGAGAATACAAGATGTTCTTGGATAAGAATGGAGACATGCAAATAGCATTCACCCAAGAGACGATCACAACATCAGGGAAATTCTTAATTAGGTAGTATTTAATTGCACGTTACGCACAAGACCCCTCAAGGCTCAGCAGTTAATATAATTACACAGGGTGGGTTTTTTTTTGTTTTTTTTTAAGCTGTCTAGATCAATATTGCAGTTACTAAATTATGAAGCAGGCTCCATCACCAGCATGAAGTCAGGTAGGCAAGGGCTGATAATCCAAGGGGCTGCTGAAAGAAAAACAAAGCTCTTCCTTCCGAGCTATTAGTCTGAGTTATCTGACAGCTCTTCGGGGCACTGTGGAATTGGCTGATGGTCTCAGTATGCTTTAACACAGAAAACGCAGTGTTAATGAAAAACATTATTTAAAGCTGCAGTCATTACGTGAGATAATTTGCAGGCAGCCTCCTGGTGAGACAGAAGAATTCATTCCCATCTGTTCAGGGGGATATATCCATACCTAAGAAGAGCATACGTTGCTTTTTTAAGAGTTCTTTGGAACATGAACTCATTCTCCCTGACTGAAGGTATTCAAAGCCTACCTGGACACTTTCCTCTGCAGCCTCCTCTGGGGTTCATACTTCAGCAGGGGAGCTGGACTGGATAATCTCCAAAGTGGTTGCAACCCTTTGAGTTGACCTATTTGATCTACTTTTCAAGTTTGCTTTGCTTTGAGCAGGAGGCTGGGCTAGGTGATGTACAGAGGTCTCTTCCAATGAAAATGATTCTATGATTCCAGAGCTAGCATCTAAAGACACCCAAGAACAAGACATCTGTTTTCAGGCATATTCATTGTTTTCCAAGCTTGAACAAACTTGATACTTCAAGATTTAGCACAGCTATTGCAGTAACCCTAGCTATCAAACGTTCACTGCAAAAATAAGGTGATGCTGCTTTCCACACTTTGCTGAGCATTACTACGAGAGCTGAGCCAGCAGATGCTGCTCCAGGAGAGGATTCCTCATCTACAGTAGGTCAAGGCCTGCTATGTTAATTATACAGTTCTACACGCAGGTTTAAGAGGGACCTCAAGGCTGAGACTCTGCTGCATTCTGGTACAAACACTGCATTCACGCAGGTTTTTGGAATTTTTCTTCTTCTATTGGTAGGTTTATCCTTCTGATCTCAGAGAAACTGTAAGCAGTTAATGCCAACACATAGCAGTAGTGTGTTTTTCCTGGTCTCTCTCTGAACTTTGTCAAGCTTTATGTTGTGCTTCAGACCAGCAGGCCATGATTCAGGGACAGCACAAAGATGCAGGATAATTATTAACTCACTGTGCTGCAGCCCTTGAATCCCAGAACACAGCATGGCTTAGGTTGGACAGGACCTTGAAGATCATCCGGTTCCAACCCCCTGCCATGGGCAGGGCTGCCAATCACCATCCCAGGGTCATCCAACATGACTCTGAATGCCTCCAGGGATGGGGCACCCACAACTTCTCTGGGTACCCCATTCCAGTGCTTCCCCACCCAAACTTTACAAAAGGTACTTCCCAGTGCTGAGAAAAGTTTGGCCAGGTCAAGATCACTCTCACCCAGGAAAAGATTTAAGAATGGTTGCCGAAAACCAGGGAGGAAATGCAACATTTTACATTTTATGGGGATTCATTCGTTCAAGATGCCTTTTCTTCCAGCTCCTGCATCACCACTTCCCATGGTGGAGCATGGGATTTCACTGGCAGATTTTTTAATTTGATGTCGTTATTTTTCCCTTTTGTTTTGTGAAAAAGAAAGACAGACACACACAAGCAATAAAAAGAAAACAATAAAAAAAGGAGAATGTAGCACTTTTTCTAGCGGACTGGGAACCACATAATAGCTAAAATTTGACAGAGCAAAATATCAGCTCAAAATATCAGGGATGTAATAGAACTTCTTCACAGTCAGAGTGATGGAGCACTGGTGCAGGCTGCCCATGGAGGTGGTGGAATCTCCTTCTCTGGAGATATTCAACATCCATCTGCACACTTTCCGGTGCAGCCTGCTGTAGGGACCTCACTTAGCAGGGGGTTGGCTTCATGAGCTCCAGGAGTCCCTTCCAACCCCTACAGTTCTGTGACTGCAAATACAACCCATAACCCAGGCCCTGAAAAAGCCATTTGTGCACCTGCCTCTAAACAGGGCAATCCCTTCCCTCAGCAAGCTAAAAGAAGGGGAAAGGCGCCTATATGAACTCCCAGATTTCACTTAGCACAGCCACAAGCAAGCCTTCCCATAGCAAGCTGCAAGCACAGGGCAGCTGGCACAGAGCAGCCCCCAACCTGCTGGCAACACGCAGCTCCGAACCAAGGGCTGCAAACCCAACCTGCGATGCTTTCAGCAACGCGCCCAAAGTCCCCACAGGGAAGCTGGGCGGTGAGCGGCACGTAGCCCTAAAAGGCTCCGAAAATAGGATAAATGGAGGAAAAATAGAGGAAAGCGGGCGGTATCAGGGTATGTTCAGCCTCAGGGGCAACGTGGAAAGGGGCGATTTCAGCCTCCGCTTCCTCCTGAAGTTAACGGCAGTCCCTTATTTCCCGTTTCTCCACCAAATACCGGATGAAAGTTTACAGTCACCCTCATTCAACACCCCCTCCCCTCCCACACAAATGAAGAAAAACAAAAAAAAAAAAAAGCGGTTTCTGTCGGTCAGATTCAGCCCGCAGCGCGGTCGCCTTTCTGAGGCGGTTTCCCTACGCGCCAACTTCGCCCCGTCAGTAACGCGCGGCGCGCACCGCTCCGTGCCGGAGGGGGGGGGGGGGAGAAGGGGGGGCGGCCGTCCCGTGCGGCAACCTGAGCGACAACCACTCCACAAAAAAACCCAACCCACAAAAGGCAAAAATAACCACTTCTCAAACACCCCCCGGCCTCCTCACCGGGCACCAAGCTCAAAACCAAGCGCAACGCCCACCCCCGTACGAAGGGACCCGCTCCCCTTTCTCCCAGCCGACCCGCCTCGCCCCACAGCGGCTCAGCCCCCCCCCCCCGTACCTTGAGGCTGACGGCAGGCAGCTCCATGGCAGCGGCCCGCCCGCCCCGTGACTCCCACCGCGAGGCCGCCCAGGGGAGGGGAGGAAGGCGGGAGCGGTCGGGACACCGCCTCCCTCAGCGCCGTGCCCCGCGGGTGGATCGCGGAGGGGAACCTCGGCGGGGTGTTTGTGTCCGTTGTCAGGCTGGGCAAGAAAGAGGTGAAGGCCGTGGAGTGCGAACAGAGATGGGAGCAGAGCGGTGCTGTGGGGAGAGGCTGAGGGAAGGAGTTGGGAAGAAACTCATCGCAGCTCCTGAAAGGAGGCTGTGGCGAGGTGGGCTCAGCCCTGGATCCGTGTAACACGGAGCACGGCCTTAGGGCACAGCAAGGGAGGTGCAGGCTGGATGTCAGGGATTAATTTGGGACAGTTTCTCCTCAGAAGGAGCAGCGATGTGCTGGCACAGCTGCACAGGGAGTGGCGGGTTCACCGTCCGTGGAGGCATTTGGTGTGGAGATGTGGCACTGTGGGCACATTGGGGCTGGATTTGGTGATCACACAGCTCTTCCCCATCCTTAATGAGCCTGTGATTCTGAACTGGGACTTCACCTCTTGATCTGAAAGTGCTTCCAGCTTTAGAGCTGGGGAAGTTGTCATGTAAACGACCGACCCAAACCCACAGCATACAGCTATGAATTCTTTCCCTCCCCTGTTCATAACAGCAGTCTTCTCCCCACACTAGCGATGGGATAGCAGAACCAAGAAATAAGGGTGACCCTCTCCAACCTTCCTTGCCCATTGTATGCATGACCTGCCTGCAGAGCACAGAATCACAGAATTGTAGGGGTTGGAAGGGACCTTCAGAGATCATCGAGTCCAACCCCCTGCCAAAGCAGGTTCCCTACAGCAGGTCGCACAGGTCAGCATCCAGGCAGGTCTTGAACATCTCCAGAGAAGGAGACTCTACCACCTCCCTGGGCAGCCTGTTCCAGTGCCCAGAGCTTGACACTTTACAGGCAGACTGTGATGTTTTACTGGGTCAGTTGCTTTCTTGTAATTTGTTTTTAAGACGAGGCCTCTGAGAGTGAGAGAGGAGTCACAAGTTCATTGCAGAAGCTGGATGTGGAAATATGTGAGTCACCCTTCAGCCCCATTTCCAGTTTGAGCAGCACAGTGCAAGGTTATGTGCAAGAGTTGTGTGCAGTGTGGGATCTGAACTCACACATTCTCAAACCAGCCACAAACAGGCCTTGAAAAAGCCATCTGTGCACCTGCCTCTGAAAAGGGAAATCTCTATCTGCCCTGTCCTTCACTGCATCTTGAGTCCTGCTGGCTGCTAATATGCGCTGTTTTTGAAGATCTCCCAAGGCAAAGTTTTAAATCGTTAAATCGCTGAGCAGAAGCAGCAGCAGCAAACTGACCTGCTGTGTAGTTGAAAACGTTTTAAAATGTCCTCCCAAAAATCCTCAATTGTGACACCTTACCAGAAATGTAACTCGTGCATTGTCACATCAGCTGGGACTTCATTTCTGTGTCCTGCAGGGAAGCCCTGCTTCCATTCACAGAAGTACTGGTATCAATTGGGATCAACGCTAATTGCCTGAGCGATGTCACGGACTGGATTTTACCCTAAATGGCAAAAAGAAGAGTTGACATCTGAAAATATGTAAAGAGATACTGAATATCTGTATTGCTGGCTCAGTGTTTGGATACAAACTGTGACAGGGGTGCCATTCTGCTGGAATAGGCATCTAGCAAAGCAGTACGGTTTGTTTTAATGACAGTTTCCACTGCAGCCCAGTTTAAGTGTAAGCACTGTTTAGATGCAGCAGTTTGTGGGTGTCTGTGCTCCTTCCAGCATTCTCGCTTGGTCTGAATGAGACAGGCGGACTCATTATCATTTATGCAGTGTGAGCTGCAATTTGGATTGATGTGACTGCCGCTCAATGCAAAGCATTCATTTCCCCTTGTACAATGGAACTGCTTTACTTCATTTTGTTCATCAATGTATTGTGCAATTAATTCAGCCCTGTTTATTATATTCTGGGCTTGTATGTCACGGACTCAGGGGACTTAGAAATGCCTTAATGATCTCATGGATATGAAAACAATGAGAGCTGTGATAGGCATGATGCATTTGCACATCTCTCACACCTATTGGATCTAGACATCGGTTGTTTTTTATGTCTGCTTCGCTTTGCTCGTACCTTGTAAATTGCCTCTCTGTGCAAGCTGCTGCCTCTGTTCCCTTCCTTAGGCCTGATAGCTCAAAGCATCACAAACGTGGTGAGAAAGATAACAGCAAGTTAAAGACTGCGGGGAGAAGCAGATAACCCCGGAGGCTGGAAATAGGGTACAGAGATTTTCTTAACCAGACTGGTCCAGGTGAGTTCAGCTCACTGCAATTAATATCCAGCAATTAGCTGCTTTACATGAAAGATTTTGGTAGTATGCCTAGTGCAAATCAAGTTAAAACCTAATGCACAGCTATTTCCCTTCCTGGCAGCATGAAAGTGGGGCAAATAAGGCAGAATGCTTTCCTTTGCATCTTCAGGGTGCTGTACCTTTGGTGGGCAGGGTGATAGCAGCAGGGAAGTGCAGGCATTAGTACGGTTGCTCCTGCTCTCCTTATTTGGCCCACAGAGATGAAGGCAACCTCAGTGCTCACGGTTCTACTCTTCTTGCCACTCACTTGGGGTCTAGCCCAAAGATAACTGATGGCTGCAGCTGCCGTGGTATCTTTGAGCTGTGTCCTGCCTGCAGAGCCAAGAGCAATGAAAGCATCAGCTCTGCACAAATGCGTATGTCACCAATGGAGACCTTCTGAGTAAGCAGTGAGGAAGGGCATATAGAAGTTGTCCCGGCTCTGCAAACTCCCGTTTAGATCCCAGGGGGAAATCAGCATGCAGGAGCATCGTTTGGATTGAAGGGGACACTGAAGACATTTTGCAGTGCTGGAGAGAAAGCTCACTGCAAAACACATGGCAAGATGATGTGGGGAGTGGGGAGGGTTAACGTGGTACATTGTCAGATAAAGCTAAAAATTCCTTTCTAATCCCAGCAAAAAAGAGCTGCTCTTTTTACTGTTTTGCTAAAATGTAACGAGAGATTCTCTTGTGTAATTGAAGGATTACTTCAAGATTGGCTGATGCTCTAGAAAACACATGGACATGTCATAAATGAGTTTATGGGGAACATGTGATACTCAGAACAGTCACAGAAAAACAACAGCTCTCATTCCTCCAGACTGAAAGAATATATGTGAAAGCACTGTTTTCTTTATGTAGCAGAGCCTGTCTGGCACAGACACGAACAATTTAGTACAGCATGATTTGAAATTGAAGCACTTTCACACCCCATGGATTGACAACAGGGTAATTAGCAGGGGAGGGGGGGAAGAGAGGGTTTCAGAAAAACACCCCCCAGCTAAAATGAATGCGGACTATTACAGACCTGAGAGATAATGATTCCCAAGTGTTTTAATTTGTGCTTCCCCTCCTTGTCTCCCTTGCAGTCATCATTTTGGCAACTGCCAGCAACATCCCTCACACACTCAGCAGCATTCACAGAGCAGGCAGCTGCTGAGATGATTATGTCAAATCAGCACTCTGTCCTCTCTTTTCCACGTCTAATGATTCTCACCCTTGGAGAAGTGCTTTAAATGAGGTAGACACCTCTGGCTCATTGTGAGGCTGCTAAAAGCAGTAGCTGCAGAGCAGGACTTTGGGTGGGACCCTGTCATTCACCTGACTGCAATTATCTTTCCAAACGATTCCACAGAGCCCTGCTGGTCCTTTTTTGGGCCTGGCCCAAAGTCCTTTCTAGGCAGCAGAAAAATCTTCCAAGAGCTGTGGATTGAGCTCTCTGAGGGCAGGAGAGAAGCTGAGTTTGTATGCATTCTTAATTTGAGTTTCTCAAACAATCCACTGAGAAGAACACATAAAACAAGGCTTGCTTGACGTCGATCTCCCTCTGCCTTATTCAGAGCTAACGTCCCCAAAGGCAGAACTGTCACTGATTGCGTTGCAACTGGGAGATGCAGGGAAGGAAGAAGGGGAAATGTGCTGAATGTAACCTGGTGGTGCTGTTGCTGCCACTGCTGTCGTGCTGCTGAGCCAGCAGAGCAGCACTTAAAAGCTTTCCTGTGCTCAGAAGTGGGTTGGACTTGCACAAACATTGCCCCTGGGTTTTATGTCACGGGCTGATCCTGCGTTCTGTATCTTGGCACATTATTTACTCAACAGCTTTCATTTGCACTGCAGCCGTGAAGTCAGTAATACGTCTGGCGGAGACATAAATCAGGTTGCCTGATTCTGCTCACACTGCTGTGGCAGTGCTGCATGCTCTGCCCTGGCTGCTGCTCCTTTCTGCTTCCCCTCTGCAGCATCACAGTATGATTCAGAAAGAACAAGTCTCAGTCATGAGCTCTTCTACTGAAACCCCAATCTGAGCAATCAGTCCAATAATCTTGTAGCTCAATTTGTTATAATTAACTCAGTTTTCACTGTCCTTAGACATCTAACTAATCCGAGCAATTAAGAATCAGCTGTTCTCTATATTCAGAGTTAACAGTGGGCCTAAAGCAGAAAAAGCAAAGGGCCCCCTGTTGAAGTCTAAAACCTCTGGCTTAAAATTCAGACTTGCTTTTATTGCAGCAAAGTCTTGTTCAAAACACTGCCCAGAACCCTAGAAGGATACGGGGCACTGAATGCCTGCATCACCAAAGATAAAGATCCCTGCCAGATTTCCAGCTTTCTCTTACTTGCACTGTTCCAAACAGACTCAGCTCCGATATCAGGAAGCACTGCAATATCAAAACTTGGCTTTGATAAAAGACAGCGCGTGTGGTTCTTATTGCTGTCACACAGACCAGGATTTGAGAGCTCTGCAATTGACTGTGATCAATTAAAGCCTTTTTCCATTTGTGCTTTCACTGACAATAGCACTGGCAGAACCACCTACTGTTCTGCATCTGTGCTGAGGGAGGGGCTGCATTTCTCTCTCTGGGTTAACAAACTGCATCCCTGCTGCCACAGCATAGAGCTGTAGCCAAGCCACCATTCCTTACTCCAAATTTTTGGGCTGAGATTGTCGTGCTGTAATTAGAAATCAAAATAGCTCTGGCC